CCGGCGGGAGGGGCGCTGGGCCTGACGCTGCAGCCCAGGCCACCACCCGGGCTCAGGAGGGACGGACACGCAAGCGCGTGCCGCGGGCTGTTCAGCCCCACCCACCCCGCCGACCCTGCCCCTTCTGGGAACCTGTGAGGTGCTGAAGGACGGGGGAGGCGTGATGCACAGAACTGGTGGGTGGGGGCCCGTGGGGACCTCGCATGGCCAACCGTGGGGCAGGTTCCCAGACCCGAGGGCACGCCCAGGGTACCCCATGTGCTCTGGTCAGCTTCTGCAGGCCAGCTTCTGTCCTCAGACCCTTGCTAGGGGCTCCTGCAGTTCCCTGGGACCCCAGCCAGCACCCACACCTTGCTCAGGGCAGGCCCTGCTGCAGGAACCGGTCCCGACAGCTGGGCTCATGGTGCTGCCAGCCCGGCCCCCCAAACCCACCCCACCAGACACGCGTGACCACCAGCCAGGCCTCCGCAGAGCGCCCGAGAAGACAGCACCCGGAGGGCGCCGGCCTGGAGCCCCGGTTCTGGGCCTGGGGGGGCAGACCGGCCTTCCAGCACTGAGTCCCGACAAAACCCACATGGCTTTTCTAAGGACGCACTCCGAGGCGGAAGGCTGTCCCTGTGGGAAGTCTGCAGCTAGGCTCTCACCTCACCTCCACGCTTGAGCACTCACCTTTAATCCGTCTGGAGGTCTCAAGGGAACACTTCTCCTCTGCAAAGTTAAGCAGGCAAGACACCGGGTTTTCCAGACAGTTCTACACTGAGTGCAACCCACTCAGGTTCCTGGTCGCACACAGGGGTGCAGCGCTATGTCACGCTCCGGGAGCTCTGCCCTACCCTCACACCACGGGGCGGCTTCTTCACGGCAGCCAGGCAACGCTCCCCACGGCGGCCCCGGCTCAGCACCACCCAGGACTTGGGGTGAGAGGTGGCAGTGCGAGGACACCCATGGTTGGTTCTATGGCCTCGGATGGCTGAATGCTAAACGCCGGCTGCCCCCTCCGGGGTCCGACT